TTTATTAGACTTATCCAGTTTATATAGGAATACTGATTACATTACTTTGTTTTGATAATCACAACATTTCTTCTGCAAATATAATGGTGTATATTTGTTCAAATGGATGGAAAGGGTTTATATGTATACAAACTCCAGTTGCTTGTAACAGAAAATGTCCCTCGATATTGAACCATATCCTCAACCAGGGGAAAATGGCCTCATTTTATTGACTATCCTGAAACTACACTAATATCTGCTGTTGAAACATATGCCCTTGAAACAGTTGTGATAACACACATTTGTAATACATGACAATATAACAAAGCAGGAGGGTGATGGAAAGGAACGAAGGGACAAAAGAGGAGCTCAGCATTGAATTCATTTGCACCTATTTCAATCTTTCATTATAAGTTCAATTCCTTTAGAGGTAGGTAAGGTCAGTAACAAAAGTGATTGCAAAATTCTGAGTGATTACATCATGAATTAATCTTATTTTGGAAATATAAGCAGTAAAAAACTTTTAAGAATCTTTACTATGTAATTTGCCCTGAAGAGTATAAATGACTGAAGTACCACTGTCTTCTTTAGTTGTGTAGATATTCTTTGGGATACTGGAAAGGAAAAAAACCCAATGTACCTTCCGAATTAGGACAGGATATTGACAGGGCAGGGACCTGGTGGTCCTGGAAGGAGGGGTGAGGCAGCCTTTCCAAGCGGGCAAGCAATACAAAATCCAGTACGATCTCACTGGACACACCTGCTATTTGTCATTTAGTTGTAAATATAAATTGGGATACTCTGGATAATTTCCCCACAAAGTTTGTACTGAAGCTTTATCAATATTAAGAAAGCTGTCACTGTCCCTTAGAGAAAGGCAGAAGCAAAGCTCAGAAGATGTCACAGTGCTGAGACATCTGTCAGTACTTGAGGTCATATAACTCGATCTATTTACAAAACCAGCTACATAAAGGAGGATATAACATATAGCCGAGAGCCTGTATAGAAGTTTGTCTCATAACTTTAGAGCTATACAAAACTTGTTTCCTGATCCATTACTCCTTGTAGATGCTAAGCCTAATTCTAGGAAGAGCTGCAAGCTTTTAGTTGTACTGGCATTCATTTATTTTCTGATAAACATCATATATGTTCAGAAATACTTAGGAATTCCTTTTCCCCCCCTAGAAATCACCTACCTGTATACAACTTTAGCAGTAGAATTGTCGCAGCTGTGGGGTTCACGTTTTTATTAGACCACTTGAATATGCTACTCAGAGGAATTGTTTGAATTTGAAGCAGACCTTGAAGTCTGCTGCTCATAACAGACATGGAAAAGGATTTGTTTGCCCAAAACAAATTTGTGCCCAAACAAATTTGTGCTCAAACAAATATTGCCTGCTTTCTCCAACTATTTTAGATGGTCAAATAAAACTACCATTTCTACCTATAGGCCTTACCTCGTCAAAAGTTAGTACCTCTCGGATTTCCCATGCAGAATTATTTTGTGATGAATAGTAATACAACTAAGATTACATGGCAACTAATGTAAAACACTCTGTTTCTTTATTTTTTCCAAAAAATTCCTCTCCTCCTTTTTGTTTTCTTTTGACGAGCAATGAAAGGGATTTATAATTTAATTACTATAACAGTGACATGTATTACTTCCTTTTTATATTGCAGTTCTCTTAAGTCTATATATATTCTTACCTGTAGTTTATTTCTATGTAAATAACCTACTTTTGACTATATATATTACTCATTCTATACCCAAAGACTATGTTCATACTCCTGTTCTGTTACTTTAGAGATTATATGCAGCTTTAAATAGTACGTTTGTCACTCGGGTCCATAGCAAACTATTAAATGGTATCTAGCTGAGCAGTAAGTGTTTCTGCC